GTCAACTGAGCCTTTCGGGTCAACGTCTTGCCGTTTGTTTCGTCCTTGAGAAAAACTTGAAGTGTCAAGTCCCCTCGCCTGACGAAACAGCCAGGGTTGGTGAATCCTGGAACAGATCGGAGTACACCTATGTACTAATCTTTATATATCTTTATATGGTTCCCTTTTGGAGGTGATAGGCGGGTAGTTTGCACTTGCAATGTCATCCTGCTAATTAGACCAGATTAGGGATTTGCGCAAACACTCTCCTGTTCGTAACATGTCTTAGCTGTCACTGCATTGAGCGTTATTCTCATTAAATGCCATGTATAGTCTTGGAAATTACAAATCTCATCTGTCCAGTCGGCCTTTTAGAGCGCAACCGCCATGTTTGTCTAGTACAGTCAATAGTGGTTGAGCAACAGACACTCCTTCAGACGTTATCCATGCCTTAGAGGTAGGTTAAACACTGCAGTGTTAACCGCTGCAATTCAGTGTTTTTTAGTTCTCATATCACTACATAAGCCTGCATGGTAACAAGAAGCGCGTAACGACCTCAATTATCTGCTACTGCTAGTAATAGAAAGGTTTGAAAGGGAATTCGGTCGTTCTCGAATAGAACCATGTGCAATGTAATGCACCAATAACCTCTCTCCGAATTCATTGACCCTATTTCGGGTTTTTATTTCGAAATGACAGGTAGTTTTTAAATTGCACTCTTTAAAACCGTAAAAGTTATAAGTTATAATTGGAAAATAGTATGATTGACTTTTGTAGAATGAGTGCGCTATGATTGAAGTTTTGCAAAGAAAATGTCTTATCTAGTGAAGCGTCCGTCGATGATTCATTAGGTAACCAAGTTTTCATTTCCATGCAAAGTTTATTCACTAAGTGGTTTGTAAAACCAAAGGCACGTAAGTATGGTTTCTGCCTGCGTACTGTAAAACTAAACAATAATACCTGAATTATCCTATTCGGTTTTGTAGAAACTGTACTTACTTTTGCATTTCATTGCACTGTATTACTTTTCTGTTGTTTTAGAAAACTCCGGTCAGAAAAACTCCTCCTGCATCTGCGGTCCCCGTCCTTAATCAGACATACAAAAAGCCAAATAAATCTACCAATGCTCAAGGACCTTTCGTGGGTCTTACGTCTCCAACGGTTGCGTTATTTGGAGATACGCAGCACACGCCACCAAAGGCAGTTGCCAATCCAGCGATCCGAATTGCCAAATTGTCTCTTCCAAAGGTATATTGACGCGACTGCAAGTACACTTGATTCGCACTCACCCATTCAAATTGTTGGTCAACCGCAACTCAGCGACGGATTTTGCACTAACTGCTCTGGGTCCTCCTACTTCCTCATTTTTATTGCTCGTGACGCCAGCATTTAGACTCTAACCCCCGTCCCCCTAAGAGTGCAGCACAAAAAACAGCTGTGCATGTTTTGCGAGTGACCACTAACATAAAAGTTGTTTTCCATTGGTTTATTACCATTAAGCCATACTGTATGCCGCGTGCTGTCTTCTTAAAAAGCACACAGGCCGTATTATATTACACTATTTGCTGGCCGTAGTAAGCATGAATACTAGAATTAGGCACGTACCTACAGCAGCAGTCTTTTAGTCGAACCTAGTAGAAACATACACAGCCCGACAAATAGAGTTGGTAGGGTGGAAACCAAAGCAAGCTCTGCTGTGCCCCAAAAGTGTACTTACTCGGAATAGTTGAAACCAAGATTCACACTGCTTGCATAGATCAAGGGGTAGGAGCCCTAGCGTGGCTAGCTCAGCGTCGCCTCGGAAAATTGGTAGCGTTAGTGCTAGCACCAGTACTACTACACTCCATTTTGAGATCGAGGGGATATGAGCCCAGTGCTGACTTTAATCAGCGCCATTTCCGACTTACAATACAGTTAGTACCAGCAAATACTATCACTCAACTACACCCCAGTTATTAGTGTAAGAAATAACAGTATTTGTAGTAGTAGTAGTAGTAGTACCAGCCCTGGCTTCCGAGAGTCTGGCTAGACACCTGCTATAGGTGAGTGAGGGTGGACAGTACAGTAGTACCCGCGCGAAGTATACTGTCACTAAAGGCTAAGTTTAGGCGGTGTTTCAGGCTGCATTGGAGAAA